CCTCTCTAAGTAATCTAAAACATGATTCACTTCAAAACTCTAAGAATAAGCTGGGGTCCCATCTCCCCAGAGCCTACCGGTATTTAAAAAAAAAAAAAATTGTCTAACTCAGAGAGAAATGAATGAGTAATCTCACAAAAAGACAAATTCTATCTAACGTTTAAATGTGCTCACTGTATGTCCTTCTGGTCAGTTCTTCAATTATATAATCTAAGGAAATGGGCCATAATAGAAGGAACTAGAGAAAGGAAGGAAGGAAGGCTTTGAACTGGTGACAGAGAAAGGCTACGTTTCAAGAAATTAGAGGTGAAAATTTAAACTTTTCCTGACTTGAAATCAGTTTATAAAGTCATATAATTACTACAGATAAAATAAACACAAATTATTGTCTATCCGTTAGAAAATAAAACCGATCTAATGATATGGACATCCGAAAGAGTTTTAACTAAAGAAATTTAAAGCATTTTGAGATCAAAAATGTGAAGCTAATTGTCTCTCAACCATTCTATTGGCATTTCAGACTGAACAATTCTTTGTTATGCGGTGTAATATGCTTTAGAGGAGAGTTAGCAGCCTTAAGCCCTACCCAGTATGATGCCTGCACCACATGCACAGGCCACACATGCACTAATGTTAACCCAAAATCCCCCAAGTGTCCTTGGAGAGAGAAGAGATCAGAAAAAAACTCCTCCTTGTTCAGAATTATAAATAAATACATAATGGGGGGAGGGTAATGGGTGCCTCTCTTTGTATGAGCATTATAGTCATGCCACGAAGACAATCAGGTTAACTCTAGGACGACTCACATAATCCTTCCTTCCTAGTCTTAATTCATTCATCTAATCCCCTGGGTCAAATTAGCAACATCCTGAGATCCAGTGTCACCAATGCAGCCCTAGTTATTCTCTTCTGCAATACTGCCTTCTTTCCACTGAGTGGCATGCCTTTCACTTTGGGAAATCAATAATAACTATAACTAGAAAAAATTCTAAAGTGTCCATGAGGCGGAAGTTTTACATTGAAGAAACCAATGACATTTCTAATCCTTAGAAGTCTAGAAGTCATTTTCATTCTGAAGTTGTTTTGCTACATATTTATAACAATGATGTATCAAATTATAGTGTAATCTAGATGATATTTAAGACACAATGTTTAATTTGACTTCAACTTTTTTAATATTTAGCATTATCAAGGAGAATTAGCTAGAGAGCACCAATTCGCCTAAAGTTTCGGCTGAATTCAATCAGTACAATGAGAAGCTGGTATTGACTTTAGTGATAAACTAATTTAAGTACACCCTCAACTCTTTAGATTTGGTGTATCTAATAATAACGCCTTTGATCTGATGACTTGGAAAATTTGATTTGGCTTCCTTATTTTTCACACTGGAAACAAAATCCTCTTCTAAAAACATGACTTATACCTCTAACATAAACTATTTAAACAGAAGTTCACTGCATGTAGCAAGTGTCAATTTGCCTAATTAAAAACCTGACATTGTTAAAGGGACTATCTCTAGTATTCATCAGTGTAAGGTCAGCCAAAGCTGCATGACTCAACACAGCCGTAGGCGCCGGCTGGGTATCTGTTACCAACACTGCTACTAACACTAAAGGCTACAATTCATCTCTATTTAATAGCAGCTCTGGCCTGTACCCCAGTTATGTTTGCATAAATAAATAATTCTTAAAAAAAAAAAGAGTAACAAGTACCATTAAATCACAGAAGAATAAAATTTTTAAGTTGAATGGACCCTTAACAAAATAAAATGGGATACCTTGCATTGCAAGTCTTAGAAAATAGTTATAGTTGAAGCAAAGTGAGGGACTTAGTTAAAGCTACTAGAAAACCTCCTGAAAGCCAACAATGTATAGAACCATCAACCACCAAGAAGAGTAGCAAGTTCAGCATTTCTGGGGCCAGCAGCAGCGATGGGCAGAGGGCAGCAGCTCTCATTCGCTAAAGAGACTCAGTGTCAATTTTGCTCAAGGAGGAAAGTACCTCCCATAGAGGAGTAGAAAAACAAGGTTCCCTAGCCCTGTGAAAGGCAATTCCCTACTTGAATTGCCTTTCAATTTTTTTTTAATCTCTTGGGCTGCTGGGAATGAAAGTCTCCAAACCAGTTGTCATCTTTAATGAAGTCATATATACATGGAATTGTGTACCTGTATGTGGCTAAAATGTATATTCTGGTATCTGCCTCAATCATTGCATGTTCTTTAAATAGCTGTAAATCTATTTAAATCCTATAAAAAATCTGTAAACATCTACTAAGCACAAAGCTAGGTATTCTTATAATTCTACATATAAAAATTAATAACAAGCTTCATTATTCCGGAAAAAGAGCCGAAAAGAATACTTTCAATAGCAGTAAAACTTCTCATAGACATCATAATTACAATCCCATTGTAAATATGGGATTTTTCTCAAAGTGATTTGATCATGGAAACCTATTTTTTTTTTTCTTTCAAGCAATTCAGGTAACTGGACTCCAGCTTGGAGAACCCTGTGTAAAGTGTTTCTTATCTCCACTGTAGACAGCTGGACTACCAGGTTATTTATAAAGTTCATTCACTCAATAAACATGTAGCTCATCTTTCAGATGGGGCCCATACGATCCTTGGTAAAGTCTATCCTTTGCC